GAAAACCTTTTTGTTACAAGTGGAATGCGAAAAAGATTAACTTTTTGACGTATTTCTGAGGTTATATCCTTGTCATTTTGACGCAAAAAGCTACTCAAAGGAGGGCACGTTAACTATAAAAGACATCATAAAAATATAAGTAAATTTCATCCAAAATACTTGAGAATTGGTGAGTTAACATAACTTTGGATGATCTTTCGAATGGTATATCACACTAGGTACCGTCTGTTAAGGTTTTAGCTGTAGCAGGGGGACGGGACTTATTTGACACCCTGTGCATTATCACTTCCCGAACACTCCACTCGTCAAATCCAATACTGTAAAAATCTTGATGGCCCAGATTCACACACACACACGATATAGCACTTGAAAAGTGCTCAAAATGTTGAAAAACTCCATGGAAGAGTTTTTGGCCAACGGATTAGGCGTATTTGGCGTTCTGCTAAATCTGATTTCAAGTATCATATATTTAAAAGATATGGTCCCTCGGCCTGTATAATGAGTCATTAAACATTCCTAACCCACTCATTACTATACTCAGAAAGTTGCTGAAAATCGAGAAGGAGTTTTTGTTTCATGATAAAACAAAAATACATTTTTACAAAGTACTGTATGTGACGATGACACTTCCGAATGGTTTTATTACAAACCTCACGAAAACACTGCATAAAACACAAAGCCCATTGATGAAGCAAGTATTACCTCATTTTCTAATATTTGTAAATGGGAGGTCAAAAGATAAGTAAAAAATTAAACAAAACAATTCTTTGTATTTTAACCACGAGTGATAGTTTCGAGGTACCAGATATGGTACTCACTCACTCACTCACTCACTCACTCACTCACTCACCCACTTACTCACTCACAGGTACGGATACAGAAATTACGTGTATAGTGTAAGATAAAAGATACAATCAGATATTTCTGCATGTTTATTAGATCATTTTCGGAGCACAGATAGCTGCAAATCAGTTGATATGAAGGATGTTTGCTCGAATAAGCCGACATCAGGCTGACATACTAATTGAGCTTAACTATATGTTTTCCCAATCTCAATGTCGTAAATTGATGTCGTAAATTGCACCTCTATTGATATGCATGATGACACAAGATGGAGTGATATATCAATTAGTTGTGCTCCGGCAATAATAGTCCCCCTCATAAGTGCACAATTAATCGTTAAAATATCATTCCGCTTCATGCATAATAATTAAAATAGTCCCATGGGAAATCATATCATCCGGATAGTCACATTTATACCATAAGCATTTACATTGGGAGAACCTTAAATAACAATTAAAAATCTATTTCTAAACAGCGCAAAATGGGGACAAAAAATTCCAAGATCGCAATACTCTTTCCCCGAAAGTTGCTAAATAATTTACGGTCTAAATACAAATCTTGTGAAATCTGTTTCACACCCGGATTTGACAGTTGCCCGGTGTCAATTCATCCGTTGCATACGCAAGTTTCCCTCATCGAACTCAGATGCATATTTGCCATTTGATGGAGGTTACATTCAGACCAACGCTTGTTAGTAATTACTAATGTAATCATCTAGAAAATGCGCATCTGCTCTATGGCAGAGTATGTTTTGACGTTTGAGCTTGCAAATAAGTTAAGACTTATTGATATTTGCGCGCACTAATTTATAACCTTTGGCGTCAACGTAGCGAGAAACACTCAGTTAAGCAAATCTGTTAATTACCCAAACCTTCAGTTCTATCAGCATACCAAAAGTTTTGCAAAATAACACCCTTGTTCTTAATTGGACACCTTTAAACTCGATACGTTAACGAGCCTTAATTTGCAATCTTTTTCGTCTGTCATAAGAATGTTGAAATATGGGAGATATATTATCACCTTATTTTTGGGTTAATTTACAAAATAGCTTCGCCTTCGTTAGAATGACTTTAACATATTTTTCTGTTTTTCTAAGTTGTTGTTAAAAGAAACATCTATAGGGGTGTTACAAACATCTAAGCATAGTTATTTACCAAACAACTAAATTGGTGATGTATTATCATTTTCCGAATCTTCGTAATCGCCTAAACAAAAGCATCGATCATTAGGCTTTTAATCAAATTGACATTATCAAATGCAATATATTTCTCCTTTGTTTTGGGTAATCAAATCATATTGTTTTACGCAATTAAAACCTAGAATTACTTATAAGTATGATTAAGTTTGGAATATGATTTGATTATGTAATTGTATCATATATGCAACATTTACTACTGAACAAAATATTAATTGAAAAAGTTAACTTTACATCATGGATGATACAATATCGAATTTGTTAATCCTTTTTGACCCAATATAATGTCAGTCATAAAACTGAGTAATAATATACAAAAGAAACGATATGTCAAAATTAGAAATAAGTATACTGAGATCGCCTAGTCTAGCCCTTGTGAGCCACACGTGTTATGTTTGTGAGGTAAATAGGGAAGGGGGGGGGGGTGGGCATCCATAGTCTTGGAACAAGACTAAGATCTCCCACCCACCCCGAAAGTGTCCTCGATTACAAAAATAGAAGGGATTAGCGTTTTGACAAATGCCCGGTAGTTGTGCGGTGTAGATGAACGCGAACTAAGTACCAGCCGTTAAGTTTAATTGCCGGATCACTTACAGCATATGTCAAAAGTACGGACGCTGATTAACAACACGAGTGAAGATCCTTCTCCAAAACATATCATCTTTTGTTACTTAAAACTCCTTTAATTATCTCGCTTGGCAAAACAGTTGTTCTTAAGAGTCGCTGCGCCAATAAACAAAATTGTTCTGTCTGCACCTTGACTCGATGTTAACAAATAGTCCTCTAATAGAGTTTACTCCTAAATGAGAAAAAGAACATTTGTGAAGGTATATTCTACTTATACTAATTAGTTAGTTCACTGATATCTCATCACTTACCTTAAATTGATGTTTTGCCACTGTTAGCTGTTCGTTGATGAAAGGGAGCTGGTGGCGAAGTTATAATTGAATCACGAGCAATTCTGAAGGTGAGCCTGTTACGGAGAAGGGTGGGAACGATCCTCAAGCCAGGATTAATTATAACAAATATCTGACAATTGCAAAGTTCAAGAGGATATTTTCCATATGGTGTCATTGTGTTATGATGATTAAGTAATCAAGTGATAGTATTACACGATGTCAATATATCGTGTCCGTTGATACTTCACTGTGGTATACCTACCCAAGTGTGATTTTTAGGGCTCTGAATTGTTTTGTGTGAGAGCTATGGGCCCAAGGTGGTCTTTACACTTTACACTGGTGGTCAAATCTGAACCTGGAAATGGGTCAAAGGAATTATCGTCTATACCTTGCCCAATCTAAGCGCTTTTAATGAAAAATCACAAATGGCAACATTTAAAATACGAAACAATACGTACCTATACAATTCATCTAAATTACGAACCTTTCCCTACATAGACCAAATCAAAAAACTAAGTATTCGTATAAGAAATGGAACTATGAAAGAAACTTTTTAGATAATTTTCAGTCTGCATGCAGAGATTAATCGACATCGTAGATTGGTGTGTTGCTTTGACTTTTGTGGCTTGCACTGTTGACGTATCAGTATTAATTAATATACAGATGGTACTTATGAATTGGCTTACTTGTTTTGGGAATTATGGTCGTTGCGCACACATGAACAAGAATTTGTTGTGGGTGTTTATTTTATCAACTGATGGTTTTTTGGTGCATGGTTTGGGTATATATTTGAATGTTAAGTTAATATTCTGCTCTTTGTTATCATGTGCTCCTTGGCCATGGTTAGCTTCGTAACCTAAATGGTACCAAAGTATTACTAATTGGTGCTTATTGAAACCATGGCACCAAGTTGAATACTCATTTGAAAGCCCTGTGGTTATTTATTTGTGTAGTTTACTGCTATAAACTGCTGTAATGATTGAATATTTGTTTGGATATGTTGCCCTTTGTGCCTTTCATTATGAATATAACATTTGATTTCTGGTACGTTTGTCTTTATTTTCAAATCTCAAATATTATTTGAAAATGTCGTTAGAAATCTAAACAATAAATAAAATGGTTCATGAAAGATATCTCATTTTTATATATGTTAATAAGATTTTTATATGTTGTGCTTTCTCATTCAGATCTCATTTGATGTCACGCAGTGGAAGACAGGTTACTGACCTTGTTTTAGAGTTTACGTTCACCCCTTTCTCAGTGATTCAATTAAAATCAAATAAAAGTCATTGTTTTCAATTAATTTGTAATCCATAGATTTTATTTACAATTAATGTTGATTTATATGTACAATAAATTAATATGCATATTTTACAATTAATTACAGCTTACATTTATGATTTAATAAAATGAGTTTGGAAGAACTTAGTCAGTTGCAGCATTCACTTACATAATCATTTTGAAACTGCATCGCCATTTTTCTTTAGACTTTGCGCAAGAATGCGCACATGGCTTTCAAAATATGGATAGTGATATACACTCCCCTCCATAAGTTATATACATCTTTAAATACACTGCCCTCCATAAGTTTGGAAACCGGAAGCTCATTTTGAATCACTTATCATTGACAGTCTTTAATATGCTATCCAATGAAAACTTTCAGTTGCTGAACTTACGATGGGGAGTGTAGAAAATGTGTGATTATATTGGCAGGACGCAAACGCCAGTAATTGGCAAAGAAGCACATTTTGACATAAACTAGCGAGTCATTCCTCAGGTGCTATAAATTGCATTTAATGCCTTTAACAATGTGTCTTAATCATACAAACACTATTTTGGCGTAAATACCACCAAAAATTAGGGAGTTCAAGCTACACGTTTTTATGGGTGAAGCTAAAAATGGGAGGCAAGTAAGTAAATTGGTAATGAAATTTTGAATGAAAGGGAAATACTGTCAAAAGACATCGTTTTCTAGTTTGAACTGAAAAAACTCTGAGTTGATATTTATCTGTAAAATTTTGGCATGTCAGTTGTCTCCCCTGCCTCATGCATGGCTACGCCCATGCGTTTGATAGGAAACTTGTCAGTGAGCGTGTAAAATTATGGCCCATTAAGGATTAGTTTCCTCATTCGTAGTAATTTCTTACCCGATTGAGTATATAAGAAAATAGTTGCAATCAGGTTCCTGATAAAACCAATGGAAAATGGGACAGTAATCCCAAGTCATAATACTTCACGTTCACGTACAAGCTAGGTCACTTATAAACGTGTAGCTTAACCTTCTCATTCTCAAATATGACATTATCTACAATAATTTTTTGGAAGCACAACTGATAGTCTGATAATTTACTCAAGTAAATACTCAAGTAAACTATTTTTTCATTCCTGTCTTAACTGCTTGTAAATGCTCCATACTTTCTAGTAATTCCTTTTGCGCACCCGGACTTTCAACTGTTGTTGCATTAGTTACATCATTTTTCAACTCTTCCAGGTCTCGTTTTAATTTCGCGCGTCTGTTTTGAAACCACGTGATAACCTGGGCGTTCGAGAGTCCTAAGGTTGACGCAATCTCGTCTCTGTCTGCCGGTGTCAGGTATTTTTGATAAAGGAATCGTTTTTCAAGTTCATATATTTGTTGGTTTGTGAAAGCTGTTCTGGCTTTCCTCCGTTTTTTAGGTGGATGTGATTTGTTAAACATTCCACTGAGCTCTTTCTTGTTTCCTTCTGAAAGTAGAGATAAGAAGGGTTTGTAAAATAGAAATCGTAAAATACAAAGGAAATATTAAGATGTAAAATTTTTAAAGAAATGTGCACAAAACTTTATAAATAGCCCTTTTCTCAAGAATTTATTGATCAGCCGGGTAGATCCGACATTCGCAATAATATACACTTTTTATCAAGTGACTAAATACTGAAAAAAGCAATAAACAGGAAAAGGATACATGAGAAAGCATAAATAAAATGAAGGACAACATTATCCTCATTTAAAAATATTTATTTGGATCTCTAATAAACACCACAATAAATCTTAATTCTCATGCGTATATCATTTAACAAAGTTACGCTATTTTTTAACCGTTATAGATATCATATTCTTGATATCATATGCTAAATCGATATGAGAGATAACATCGAATTAAATTAAATTGATCACCGATGTCAAGGAAGACTGCAGAGTACACTACCTAAAATATATTCAAATACACCCCCCATATTTCAAAAGTTAACAATGATCATTAGGTTCTAAATTAATGGCAAAGTAATTGAAACCATTATCTACGAAGCATGGAAGCACTTTTCCAGTACAGAACTGCGGTTGGGCTATTTATGTAAATTTAACATCGGAGAGTTATAATGAGAAACATAAAATGATAATGAATTAAACAATTTGGAGGAGTTTTGGTATTGTTAAGTAGAATTTATAACAGTGGATTCTTTAGTTTAACCATAGTGACGATTATGTCTCATTAATAGTGGATTCATCAATCAAACGAGGTTCACTTTTGACTGATTGATTTTAGGGCTACGATAATTGAAAGTCGGTGCCCTTGCTTTTGATCTTTTATATATCTCCGCGAATATAAATCAGATTCTTTTACAAAGACTTGGCCGTTTGATTAATCGTTTTAAACTAACTTTTGGTTTCTCTGACAAACGGTAAATAGACAGTAATAACAGTGGTATCGTCTTTAAATAGATGGGAACCCGTGTATAGTGCAAACACATAGGGTATTATCATTCTACAGGTTCGAGCCGTGACATATTCTCCATTAGTAGCATTACATATTGAGTATATGCATCTTAAATATCATCATTTTTCTTAATTGTACAATCTGGCAAACATTAATGACGGTGGATTAATCTAATTTTGGAACAAGAGCGCGTTTGTATTTTCCCCTGGTGAAACATATACCCTTTAAGTGTCTATTCTCAACGAAGTTAAACTAATGTTGAACTTAATAACTGCAACTTGATGAAAAATATGAAAAATTATATTTCACAAACTCACCATCTCATTATGATGATTAATTTCCTAAAAGCTTTTGAACATGTGTTTGCAAGCATTCGATGTTTCACTGATATTATATTTTAATGTCACTTTCACTTTAGGGGGTTAAGCGCAAACCCATAATTTTGCTACAGTTTAAAATTCATTCACGATGTTAAAATACAAATATTTACAAAATATGTTTTTAATCTATCTGCAATTATTCACACCCTTTTTAGAACGTGCCTCTATTGATTGTTTCGTGTGTATAGCTTTAAATATAATTACTAAGTGGGTAGATTAATGGCATTTTTAAGGATTCATTTCTGACAAAAATCCTTTTCTTGGCCTACTCCTATTTATTCTGTTCTTTCATGGAATCACAAAACAAACCCCTGTAAAAGATAGTTATTTACAGAAAGTCGTGGTTCGTATATTAATATGATTTAGATCAATGTAACCCTTTGATGACAACAGTACAAGTTATAAAAACAGAACAACGAAGCGTCTTAAATATTTACCCATTGCTCAATCGCGAAATGAAAAGGCTGAAAAATGTGACAAAACAGCAAGATTTGAAAGCAATTTCAACAATCCAGAAAATCAATATAGATTAAGTTCCTACGTGGAATATATAATGCATCTTTTGTGTGAATATTCCTTATCACACTCTCGTGTAATCTAGTTATCGTGGTAAGTGTTCAGACTAATTTGTGGGTGATAATGTCCCCCAGTGTGAGTAAAAATGTTTGGTATAGTATGACATATGTCTGCAATAAATCTAGAAACAGAGAGACACTCAATACCAAATGGGTCCACTAATTAGGCAATTTAAACACATACGTTTGCTTGATGTCAATTTAATTTGTTATTAATCCTAATCATTTTGATAGAGTATCTGTCTCTATGGGAAAACAGTCGACTTTGTGTCAATCCTAAAAATGACTTTTCACCCGAATTGAAATTCAACATTTTAATTTCCGATATTCGAATGCAAATGCTGATGCGGTCTCTAAAGCTTCTTTCAACAATTTTGACAATTAGCAAACTTAATGTTCCATTGTTAATAATGATAATTATTAATTGATTCATATTTCAGTTGTTAATAGGAGAAAATTTATTTGTTCATTCATGGTGGTATGCCTGAAAGATTAATAGTGGGATTGGACATGATAAAGCAGCGTTGACTGGGGCAGTAGTTGCATAAGCTGTCAGGATGCCAACGATGACAGTGTCCAACATTTAATTAAACGAGCGTTGAAAGATGGATACACCATTACAAGACAGCTGTGTCAATCCCCTAAGTATGTTATTCCTCATTAATTAACAGTGAATTCAATTTAGCTTCTGCCGACACAAAAGGCAACACTGACCCTAATCACAAGATACAAATAACTTTTGTTAGTTTGGCCACAATGATCACTATATACTACAGCAAATAATTGAAAGATTGAATTGATTCACTATTTTAAAACATATTTTAGGATTCAATCTATTGGTGTTTTTTATCTTTATAACTTTGTTTTCTGTGTCCCCATCATATACTGTACGAATAAAAATTAAATGGATCGATGCATTTTAATTAATTATATTCAAATTACTATCAATCGTCACTTACTTCTGCCGTGAAGCAAAATGGAAAGACTAGAGCAGTACTAAAGTAACTTTTTTCCCACAAGCAGCTCGAATTTAGTTTTGTTTGATATATCCCTGTCATGTTAGGGCTCCTGTTATAATTCCCTTTGACAGATGCGACTGATTTTCACGGAGATTATTTTCTTTATATTTCTGATATACATTACTTTGTAGAAATAAAAAAGTCTAAAAAGAGAGCCGGCCCACCCATGCGAATGTCAGGAAATTTGATGGATAAGGGTAGCAACAATGTCTTCCGTCAGCCTACTAAACATACACTATTTAGCCGAAATACAACGAAAGTCACTGAAGGAAACCTCAAGTTCTAACTTCAAACGAAACTTGAAGTCTCGGTGATCAGCGTTGTCAAATTCAGCTCAACTTTTTTAATACTTGCCACTTTGATTTGAGTCAAATGTGACTATATGTGACAAGTCGAGATGGGATGTAGACACTAATGAGCGGATGATAAGCTATGTGACAGCGTCCTATAACACAGTTAACTTCACATAAGCGAATACTAACTGCTGACATCAAACAGGTATTAGAATGTGGCCAAGCCATCATTACATTCAAGTCAGAAACTCATTGCTAGACTTGTCACTGATCTGATGATGTTAAACCGCAAATCACAAGATTAAAATCAGACATGCTTATTGTCAATATGTAATTATATTCCCTTGACTAAAATAAAAATACTTTAGAATAAAGTAAAAATACGTTTACCCTACAAAGTTTTCGATTTCTAGAATTTATTTATTTGCAGCTGGATTTTTAATCGGAATCAATAAAACGTCATCTTTAATCTAACGGCAAGTTTGGGAGTTATTACTATATATTTATTAGCTTTTATAGGATTGTACCGGGGCACGCGACACGCCCAATGGCTGATCTAGTCCCATAAATTGTGACTGATGGTAAAATTTTCTCCTTTAACTTTCTTTTTAAAAAACTCATGATAGGAAATTTTATAGTGTCGAGTGCATGGTCGTGTAGGAACCCTTGTTTGGGTTGATGTATACGACCGTCGGCGCCTTTGATGTAGCGACGAGCCGTTATGGTTAGATGACTGCCTCATGATCATAACCACGGCACCAGAGAAGGAATTGCATTAATGCTTCTAACGAGAATTTCATTAAAGCAATCATAGCCGAATTGAATATATTCTGCAGAAATTGATTCCAATTGATTATACTAGGTACCATCAACAATACGTTCTTCAGAGAGAATTTCCCATATATCACGGTCATGGTTTCTATTTGAAATATACATTATAATATTAATAACTTTCTTTGATTTGGTTCTGTGTGGTCTGAGATAGTTTTCCTAACGATCGTTGCAGGTAACAAAGTGGAAAGAAACTCATCATAATTATTCCAGATATCAGTTGTCTGCGAATTCGAGTGCCACGTATTCTCATCTTTAGCAGCTTATCGTGAATGCGGTACCAAATTACCAATATTTCCTTTTCGCATTATTTCAATTATTTATGCATATAGATAATAACTACAATTTATTGAAAAAATTAAAATTCTATAAAATCACAATCAATTGTTGATGGTACCTTGCATAACAAATAATTAACAAGACAAATTGAATTAATTAACATTGGATTTAGAAAAATGCTTACTTCTTGATATAATTTCTTCAAACGTTGCTTAAACCTAATATATCCTAAGATTGTTAATATATAATTACTATTATTATAACATATTTATATAGTTTAAAGTATACATTATACTATGTTATAGACTTGATAAAACATCTTAAACTTATAACTTATAATTTGCTTTCCCAGTAAAAATAAAAATGAACACTACTATGACACCTCAAACTGGTTTATAATTAATAAAATCAGTGCTATTTCTACATCAAATGTTTAACTTAACGACACATGGGTATTCATTTTAGGCATACCGAGATCCCTGTACAGCGTTTTGATTTTCACACAGGGTGAAACGAGATGGTATGCACCTCTAGAGCGTATGTGTCAGGCCTAAACAGTGAAGACCAAGAGAAGTAAAATTAATCACTGACGCAAGTCACTTTTAGTGTGACATTTCCATGAGGTTTTGACCTAATACTACACCTTGACATAATG